GAGCACATACTCCCAAAGTTTCAGCCCTCTAGCTTTTCTAGCTCTCGAGTTAAAAGTGGGTGACAAAAAGTGCGAACACACAGACACACAAACACACATACACAGCCTCTTTCCAATACGCGTTTTTGCAACTTACGTATTTGCAAAAACGCATAAATAGAAAATGAGCGCTAAACGAAAATTGTTTATTTTTTTTAGTGCAAAAAATAATTTTACGATGATTTGTGGTACTGAGCGCAAAAGGTAAATGTGAAGAAACAACCGTTCATGAAGTTTATCTAATTACTTCAAGTTTGGTGCAAAAAAGTATAATCGCACCGGCTCGCTTGGTGCGCTCCAGCCTGGGTTATTATTATTGTTGTTATTAAAAACTATAGCATAGGCCTAATAGACGGGAAAATATAAAAGCCGGATTTTTAAAGAAAAAGGAAGTTTTCACATAACGAGCAAAGTAACTGTCTCTGCTTACAAGTGCGTTCATTTTATCTGCCCGGTGAGCCGGCCAACACTAGTATTCCCTGCCGTTTGCGAAAGAAACGTAACACATATCTGCTGATAGTGTTATGCAAGAAGGAAAAACAGTTTAAAAAAAGATCAAAAATAGATAGCTGCGCTCGCCAGTGGGCCAAATTGCACGTTTCCAAGTTGCTGTCTGGTCGCCGTGAGCACCAACTTGTAACAAAAAAAAAACAAAAAAATTTCTTAATAACGGCTTTTCGACTTAGCATGCCTCAATTTGTCAGCGAGTAGAACAGCACACTTCTTTGGTCCTGTTACAGTATGACGAAATGGGGCGTGAAAGTTTACATATTATTTCTGGGACAGCAAAGAGCAAATGATGATGCCTACGAAATACGTTTTTTAGCTTTTATAGTTCTGCATTAAATCATTATGACCAAAATGCACGAAAACACTTACACTCACACTACACATAAACGTAACCATTTGATGACTTTTGAAAAAAAGGCACAAAAGTTATATTGGTATAATTTGCGTATCTTATCTTTGCCAACTAAACAAAACGATGACTGTCATATAACAATGATAGATCAAAAGGCCCAGGTTGGAATGTACCAAGCGAGCCCGTGCGATCATGTGTTTTTGCATCAAACTTTGAAGCACAGTCTCTCATAAAGGGGGAAGAGGGAAAAAAGAAGGGGGTTTCACATTATGCCACCATTCAGCTGAGGACGCGGTTTGATCATTTGTGCGGATCGACGAATTAACGGCCCATCGCTAGCCAGCAAATTGACCAGGACAACTTCAGCTTCCAAGCTTTCGCAGTTATTGAGGTGAGTACACCCTTCATTTCTAACTACCATTGCATTTCGCTGTTCCCCTCTCCTCTTCCTCCTCCCTCCCACCCAAGCCAGGACACCAACTACGTGGGCGAGACCACCCCCGCACCTCTCCACCGCCTAACTCACCGCCATTAGCACGTAACGTGAATTTAAACTTGTCGCCTATCATAACTGATCGCAGCAGTGCGCCAAAGGGCCAGCGCCGCGTTTGCAACGTCGATTTGGAATACGTCTCACTTGTTTCTTACGCGCTATCACTGAACGGTTGTGCACAGTGCGTGCGAGAGT